CTCAGGAGGGGCCACGCCCATTAGGCCATTTTTGAATTCCCTCGGGTCTCCCAGGGAGCCCAGGCCCACCTCACCTGGGGCGCCGGTTACAAGGACTCGTTCGAGGACTGCCCGATTCAAGTAACTCCCCTCCACCGTGCATTGTTGGAGCATCGTTCTGCTGCTTGTCGCACTCGATCGGGTCATTGGCTGAACCTGTCCTTCTCGTAGTCAGGGGTGTTGTCACACACAGGGTGGGGACATGCTTTTGGGGTGGGGGGGTAGCTGGGGTGCTGTACATTGCCAACATTTTTCTTGTTGTTGTAGTCCTCTTCTCCATCTCTCTTCCCCCCCCCCCCATTTTTTTCAGTGACTATACATGTTGTATATGTTGTATTTATTTTGCGGGCTTCGGATATTTATTGATGTTAATGGTTGGGAGGCACACCCTTGCGTTGAGATTTTTGACAGCCGGGACGGCTGTGTTTTACGAAGGGGGGGATGACCTCATGGGGGTGGCCTCATGGGAGCCACCACGGTGCCGAGAAAGTGCCGTGTGAGGGGTGGTACTCTAAGAGCGGAGCCTGGGTGTTGCTGAGAAGGGGGCCGTGTCAGGACGTGACAGACCGGATGAAGGGGGCAGAGGGCCCCCAGTCGGGTGTGACAGGATCATGTGATGGGGATCCAGAGTCCCTACGAGGGTTCTGGAAGGGGGGCATGGCCAGGGGCGGGGCCAGCCATGCCAGGGAAATAAGCGGGGTCCTGAGGGGGGGATCGGGGAGTTCAACCCTGGGAATTAAGTCGCCATCCTCGATCCTGGGTCCTCGGTCTCCGGTCTTCACGCGTGGATCAGGCAGCCAGTTAGCTGTCCTGGTCCGACTATAGAATTGTCTCTCTGAGTGTCAGTTTAGTTAGTCGTGGTGGTCACCACCGTGCTGTTATCCTGTTAGAGTTACCCGTTGTGTTAAATAAACGTGTTGCCTCCAAGTACAAGTGAGCACCTAAGTTAGCACACTACACTTGCATGCATGCCACTGAGATTGAGGGAAGCCAAGTGGTAGCGCATTCTCTATTTATTGCAGAGGTGCAAGGTACAAATCCGACAGGCACCCCTGGCTACTCCAGTAACATTATGCATCGTCTGCTTAACAGTGGATGTAAAACAGTGTCATTCAAAACACACAGGTCATTGCATGTTGGTGTCATTGTCTAATTTGGGTCATAGCAAGAAATTACACAACTGAGATTACACATCAATTCTCGCCCCCTACTGAGACTCATGCCCACATGTAAGTTGGTGCTGGGCCACCTTATTTCACACAGAGGCAGCTGGCACTTGGAGGTGCTCTTTGAGTGTTTGTGATGAGATATGATACAAAACTCCGAATTGCTGAGGCAATTAAGCAAGTCTAACACGTAGGCTTTCGCGACCAATATCATCCATAATAATGTTTTTTTGGGTTAGATCGCGTAAATATAAATGCGCTCTCTCTCGTCATCTAGCCTAACCTAAACACAACCGTGACCGTGTTGTAGTGTCATCGTGGTGGGAGACAAGGTTTCTAAGGGGGCACCTTCTTTATCAACACCTTCACAGGTTCACCATCGCACTCTCCCTAGTCGTCTAGCCTAGACTAAACACAATCCTGACCATGTAACACCGATGGCGCTGACCGAGACAGCCAACTATCCGGCCACGCAATATCTAGCGAAGACGACAGCGACGAAGGCAGCAAAGATTGACAGCGACGACAAAATGAGCCCACTCCCAGAACCGGCAGCCCTGAGCTCCCGCTCTCAGCTGCAGTTATGCTACCCAACGTGGCCTGGCTCCGCCCTGGTCATGCCCTTACTTCTGAAACCCACTAGCAGGTGCCAGGGGCTTCCAGGTAGGGTCTTCCATGACCCTTGCCCCAGTTCCTCCACCCTGCCGAACACACCTGTGTATATGCTCACCGGTGTGTGCACTGTTTGTCCACCGCAGTTACCTTTGCCGGACAAGTCGGCTGACATCCAGCAACTGCAACCGGTGGACAGGCAAAGCAACCCCTAACTCCGAGGAACACCACCAACACAAAAAAAATTCACCACAAAAATAACCTTAGCTGCAACACTTCCCGCGACCATACAGTACAACCGCAGCGTCTCCCGCAAACCATAACCACATTGCACAACCACAGCGCCCCCCACAGACCACCAACAAAAAGGACAACCTGCAGTGCCCCCGCAAACCGACAACACGCAGCGCAACTGCAGCGTGGGAAAGAACCCCGTCGGGGACCGCACAACCGCGACGCCCCCCTGCGAACCGACAATGCAACCCAAACAATACACACAGCCCCCCCGAATCCCACCTACAAGGGAGAGTCAACCTTTACCAGAACGTAGCTCAAGTGAGCCAGTCCTTGACACTGGTCACTCCCGCCTTGGCAGGGTCTTGCATTCCTTGGGGTTCCGAGGAACGGGAACAAAAAAACAATGGCCTAAAGGGCACGCAGTAGCATCTAATCGGATAGAGCCCTTGACACTTAGCACACTGCGGTCTCAGAAATCATCAGAATTGGTGGAGCTGAGGAAGACGTTGCCGGCGGGTCGGGGTGCGTCGGTGGCGCTGCCAGCGCCCTGCTGATACCCTAGCATTCTATGGCGATGTGGCCCAGCTGACCACACCTGAAACACTCGGCCGTGGGGCCCCAGGACAGAGGGGGCTGCCCCAGTTGCCATTCCACCCGTGGGGGCCTTCTCCCGTGCGTCCCCAGGCTGCACACCACAGCCAAGGTGTCAAGCGCCGCCTCACCCATCTGGAGGTGCGCCCTCCGCCCCAGCACCAGCAGCGCCTCCCGGAAAGTGAAGGGCATCTCGGCCTCCCCTCCCTTCCACTGGAGAAATTTCATGTGGGTGTCACATGGTAGGCCAAAAATTGCCCCTTGCAGCGCCATCGACTCCGGCGCCCCTCCAGTGCTGTCCCGCGCTCTCCACAAAATAGCGCCCGCTAGCCATGCCAAGCCCTCCAATTGCAAAATGGCGCCCACTACATGCACGGTCTCTGGTCCAGGCTCCTCCGCTCTCCCATACTGATGGGGACTGCTGCCAGGGTCCTCCCTTGTGACTCGGCCATGCCGCATGCTCAGCGCATGACCGCGGAGGATCGACCTCCTCCCCCGCAGATTCGCCGCCGCTCTCCCTCCGATCCGCGGCTGCTCTCCCGCCGATGCGCTGCCGCTCTCCTGCTGATCCGCAGCCGCTCTCTTTCCGCCAACAGGCTTCGTAACCAGGGTTCCGGTGCTGCCGGAGGGATGAATGTTTTGCCGTCCCCATTGTCCGACGACACTATAGGTGGGTTCTTTCTTCATCCCACTCCAGACACCAGTTGTAGTGTCATCGTAGTGGGAAACAAGGTTTGTAAGGGGGCACCTTCCTTATTAACAACTTCATAGGTTCGCCATCGCACTCTCCCTAGTCGTCTAGCCTGCCTAAACAAAACCCTGACCATGTAACACCGATGGCGCTGACTGAAACAGCCAACAACTATCCAGCCACGCAATATCTAGCGAAGATGGCAGCGACGAAGGCGGCGAAGATGACTGCGACGAGACGAGCCCACTCTCAGAACTAGCAGCCCTGAGCTCCCGCTCTCAGCTGCTTTTATGCTACCCAGTGCCACCTAGCTCCGCCCTGGCCGCGCCTCCCTTCTCGAACCCACTAGCAGGTTTCAGGGGCTTCCAGATGGGTCTTCCGTGACCCGTGACCCTTGCCCCAGTTCTTTCACCCTGCCGACACACCCGTGTATATGCTTACCTGCGTGTGTTCTGTTTGTCCACCGCAGTTGCCAGTGCTGAACAACAGTCGGCGTTTTTACACTACACTAGTACAGCACACCGGTGTTGGAGAACAAATCGCGTAGTGGCGGGTTCCACGAAACATTTATATTTACGCGATCTAACCCAAAAAGAAACTCTTATCGGCAATAAATCACCACATGAATGCATATATTATTATCATAACATAGTGAATGCTTGGGAGCTTATTGGCTCTCGCTCCTGGTTAGACATCTACCCAACCCACAGGTCCACACATTTTGGCCGCTCTTACTCTGCAGGTTGAACCTAGGAATTGAGTGTTCAACTTCACTTTATTTAAATTAAAGCCCTGTGACAAAGGTGAATCTATTGGAGCTTCATTGTCTCAAGCTTACACATCTGTAGTGTACGACTCTCGAGACAATAAACTACAGAGGGAGCTTGTTATTTCTCATAACTCACACTGTTTCACTCACTAGCATATAGCACAACACTGACCGCCTAGCAACCACAGCGCTGACGGACTAGTTAGCTGGATAACTATCTAGCAATGGCGACGTTGAGCGATGGCAAAGACGGCAGCGATGATAAGGACAGCAGCAACGACGAGACGATCCTGAAGACCACGGACAGCCTCGAGCTCTCTCTCTCCATCCCGCTTTTATCCTTCCAGGATCCGCCCTGGCCACACCCCCCTTCTGCAACAATCTAGCTGGTTCTGGGAGCCACAAGAAGGATCCCTTCCCCTTGGGTGGGTACACCCGCAATTGCTACACCTGGTCAATACTCGGCGCTGCTACACTACACATCTACCCGGTCTTTTTTGACTTTGTATTGTCTAAGAAGTCCAGCCACACCTCCACTTCTACAAACTGCTGGGAGTTGCCTAGCTCTGCCTCACAGTAGGAATTCTCCTCCTGCTTCACGTTGCATCCATCAATGTGAAGTTCTGATTTTGGATATGAATCTTCATCTTCACATTTCACCTTCACTTCTTCGCTCTTCACTGTCACTTCATATTTCACCTTTGCCTCTTCATATTTCAACTTGATACCTTTTAAAGTGTCCAAGCTAGGATTTTCTTGTGGTTCTTTTTTCATTAAGGATGGGCACATTGCAGCACTTTGACATTCACAAGTCGATTTCAGACTCCTCTCCTGGGGGATCTTCTGATGACTGTGTGTTCTCTGGTGTCTTTGAAGATGTGATGACGATACAAACGCCTTCCCACACAGAGTGCACTTGAATGGTTTAGCTCCTGTGTGTGTTATCTGGTGCTTTTTAAGAGCAGATGTACCTGAAAATGCCTTCCCACACACACTGCACTTGAAGGGTTTATCTCCTGTGTGTGTTCTCTGGTGTGTTACAAGAGCAGATGACTGTGAAAACGCGTACCCGCACAGAGTGCACTTGAAGGGTTTCTCTCCTGTGTGTGTTCTCTGGTGTCTTTGAAGTAGTGATGACCATACAAACGCCTTTCCACACACACTGCACTTGAAGGGTTTCTCTCCTGTGTGTGTTCTCTGGTGTATTACAAGAGCAGAGGACTGTGAAAACGCATACCCGCACACAGTGCACTTGAAAGGATTCTCTCCTGTGTGTGTTCTCTGGTGTTTTTTAAGATGTGGTGACTGTGCAAAAGCCTTCCCGCACAGAGTGCACCTGAAGGGTTTCTCTCCTGTGTGTGTTCTCTGGTGTTTTTTAAGATGTGATGAATCTGAAAATGCCTTCCCACACACAGTGCACTTGAAGGGTTTCTCTCCCGTGTGTGTTCTTTGGTGTTTTTTAAGTTTTGATGACCGTGCAAATGCCTTCTCACACACAGTGCACTTGAAGGGTTTCTCTCCTGTTTGAGTTCTCTGGTGCTGTGTAAAATTTCCAGTAAGATCCATACTGTTTGCATACTGGTCGCATTGTTGTCTTTTTGTACCGAGCTGTGCTGAGTGCCTTTGCTCCATCACACCAATTCTGCAGAGGAAGTGTCAGAAGAAACGTCAGCTGCCTGCAGAAAAACACATCCACACCATCTAAGTCAGTATCGAGGCACAGAGGAATGAATATATACACAGTCACACGTGACTAACGTCTATACTTATTCATATATTCAAGATATTTCCCAATTCATCACATGGGCTGTTAAGGCATACAATGAGAGGGCAAATGGTTATAAATATGCCTGGAAGCCCTAGTATCTTCGAAATAAATGTTAATCCAAAACACCAAGTACAGTGATACCTCGGTTCACAAACTTAATTCATGAACTGACTCTGGTCGCGAACCGAATTGGTCGTGAACCGAGGCACATTTTCCCATAGGGTTCAATGTAAATCCGGTTAATCCGTTCTGACCTTTTTTTTGGTTTTTGAAACACAAAAATATGAAACAAATTACAATACACATTAGTACTGTACAGTATAGTAATGTATAAAGAGAGAACACTAACCTTGCTTGAGATGACTTCAGTAAGCACTCAAACGGATGAAGTGTACAATACAGTAAGTACAGTATTGTACAGTACAGTAGTACAGTACAGTACTGTATGTGCTAAAAAGCACACCAAAAAGTCACTGAAAGTGTCTTCACAGTACTCACAGTACTTCTGTGTCTCTTCTTCTCTCCACGATCTTCCTACAGGAAGTCACGACCATGTGACAGCCTGGAAATAGCATTAAAATGGCCACGGCTCCTGTTCGTGAACCGAAGCGGAGTTCGTGAACCGGAGCATATTTTTATGAACTTTTATGTTTGTGAACCGAGTTGTTCGTGAACAGAAGCGTTCGTGAACCGAGGTATCACTGTACATAATTTCGGCTGCCTGGCTACAAAAGGAATATTTAAAAAAGCTAAACTCAGCTAACAAAGCAAAGGCTGTTGAAAATACTATTTGTATTATGCATAAATTAATATTCAAGTGCAACTTAGAGGTGTGAAGCCAGGCTCAGATTTGCTTGAATGCTTGGAAGAACAGATCTAACGTCAGCAAGATATGTGCTGTGTTAATTTGCTGACTGTTTCCATTCTTACAAAAAGTTCCTGAGGAAAACTAAAATAAACTATTTGTTTTGATTTAACCGACATGTTCAATAGTTAATATACTTTACTGCAAATACAAACTTGACACTGTCACACACTGGCATGGTAAAAAGGTGGTGTGTCCAGAACCATGCCTGGCTGCCTTCATCTGCTCAGTATTAATGCTTCCTGACTTCACACTATGCAATTTAAGATCAATCAACATAGCAGAGGCCCACAAGAAGTTCAGCTTTCATTTATCAAACATGTTTGCTGTCGGCAATAAACAAACACTAATTGTTGAGTTCATAATGCAGTGAAATAACTGCGCCACTGCTCCCCACATAGATACACTCTTACATACAAATGCATTTCACATGGATCAGTAACAGATTATATTAACAGTCACCATTCATCACAAATTGGAAGTAACCTTATCACAGTGCTAATGCCATGATAGGTGAAGTTTAAGGCCATGTAAATGTGGATTCTTTGTCAGCAGGTAATGGGAATGATCCAGGTGTCAAGGGATGACCGACAGATGAACCAGCTGTGCTCCACTGTCTTGCTGGGTGTTAGGAACCCAGCGTTCCACCCATTCATGTGGGCGTCGCTCTTCCGACCTCATTGTTGTTGCAGAGCAAATATCTCTTAACTGCCATGCAGCATACCTCATGGGCCTCTTCCAGAGGCCGATCTTCACGCCTGGCATCAGTCATTGGCAGGCCAATGCCATGCCTGTTCAGCCCCTTACATCTTAACAAATAAAAGCTGCTTGAGCATGCAGTGTCTGGGATTGCGGGATTCATGACCGAACCAATGCAGCCTCACCTGCCAAAGATACTCAAGATAATATTCTATATTGATATATTAAGGATCTGTAAGCTTCTAATCCAAGTCTGGTTGAAGAGGATGAATCATAGGCAGGACAGCCATCATTGTATAAGCCAGCACAGATGGTCATTTAAATAAGTTCATATTTTGCATCCACAGAGTAATATACAGTGAGGGAAAAAAGTATTTGATCCCCTGCTGATTTTGTACGTTTGCCCACTGACAAAGAAATGATCAGTCTAGAATTGTAATGGTAAGTTTATTTGAACAGTGAGAGACAGAAAAACAGCAAAAAAAATCCAGAAAAACGCATTTCAAAAATGTTATGAATTGATTTGCATTTTAATGAGGGAAATAAGTATTTGACCCCTCTGCAAAACGTGACTTAGTACTTTGAGCGTTCTCAATGAAAAAAGAGAGATGACATGGTCATCCTCTCAGCCGACAAGGGCAATGCCACTGTCATCATGGACAAAACCACATACAATAACAAAATTCGGGACCTACTTAATTATGTTAGCTACTAGCGGTTAGTACCCAGCGTTGCCCAGGCAAAAAAGGCAGCCACACATGTAGTTACACACGCAAATCGACTAACACGCACACATAGAGTTACACGCACAAATGGACTCACACACACATACATAAACTGAACAACAACCGCCATTCGCCACTAAGTGGCGGTGACGTCACGACAACGCTTGTGCCAGGCTATGTGCACCTTGAGGCCACGTGAAGTGTCGAATGCCTGCTGGCAGGAGGTCACGGAGCAAACCCAGATGGCACAGGTCGACTGACTGAGACGACTGGCTGATGCACCACCTGTGGCCCCTACTGTGGCAACTTTCTGTGCTTTAGCCACGCGGCGCTCCGCTCATTGTTGTGAGCGTCGCTCCTCCGCCCTCCGTTGTTGTTGGAGGGTGACTGCCTCCAACTGCCCAGTAGCATCCTTCAGGAGCCTCCTCCACAGAGGCCAATCTTGACACAGCTGGTAGCAGTCATCCGCAAGTGGACTCAGCTACAAATCCTCCTGTACCACATAACTCCATGTCTTCTCCAGCCCCCTGGATCCGGCCGAACAAAAGCTGTTTAGGCATGTGGTGGCTGGCCATGCGGGCTACATGACTCAAGCAACGCAGCCTTGCCTGCCGGAGGTCACCGATGGGACTTGGTCCACATCTTTCAAGGATTTGTGAGCTCCTCACACAATGCAGCCAGGTTAAACCCAGGATGGATCGTAGGCAGGCCATCCTAAATGTTTATAACCGGCGAAGATGTTCCATTAGGGGGGTCCAAGTTTCGCAAGCATAGAGTTTGGAGGGAATGACCGTGGTGCCGAGAAGACCTGAAGCTTTGTACGGAGTGATAGAGCAGGTAGCTTCCACACAGCGTTACGCAGCCAATGCAAAGATAATGCAGCTCGACTTATTTGGAGTAAGACCTTTGCTGTTAAACCGGAGCCGGTCATTAGCACACTGGCAAGGTATGGGAAACTGTCCACTGTCTCCACAACAGCCCCATCACCAATTGGGAGTTGTGGGGGTGAAATTTCCGATGGTATAAAATAGCCAGGCAGGTGCTTAGTTTTGGTGGGGCTGATGGTAAGGCCCCACCTGTTGGTGGCAAGCTCCAGGTTCAGCAGCAGCACCTCGAACTCCTCCGAGTGAGCAGCAATTAGCAGATAATTGGCATACATAACGTGGTTGAGCAATAGGGAGCCATCCCTTGACTGCACCCGAGCATCGATCAGCCTCTCATTGTATCTGTAGCAGATGGTAATTCCTCTGAAGTACGTGGTAAAAATATATGTAAAATAATGCGGGAGCCAGACATCCCTGTTGCACCCGAAGGTGTAAAGGGAATGTCTCTGACTCACGGCCACGTAGTTTGACACGGGGCTGCTCACCATCATGAAGGTCCTTAAGGATCGTGAGCAGAGGGTCAGGGACTCCGAAAAGCACGAAGAACAACCCAGAGGCTAGGCCTACTGATGGTATCATAGGCCTTGACCAGGTCAATAAAGCACACACATGGACTAAGACGCACACAAGGACCAACAGACACGCAAAGAAATTGACTTACACTAACTAACATGGAGCCACGCACACACAGCGACTAACACACATGCACATGGACTGACACACATACACTTGAGATATACACACACATGGTGTCACACACACACATATCGATGTACACACAGCAACTCTCACACACACACATAGACTCACACACACATACATAGACTGACACACATTGGTGTACACACACATATGGACTCTCATACACAGACATATACTTTAAATAAAGACACATGGAGTAACACACACATATCAAGTCACACACATGCATTGACTTACACACACACATCGAATGACACGCACACATGTATGGACTTATACACACATGTAGACTAACACACACACATATGGACTGACACATACATACACATGGACGTACACACACACACTGACTGACACACATAGACACACAAACGCACATTGACTTACATACTGACATGGAGCCATGCACACACATCGACTAACACGCACACACATATGGACTGAAACACACACATCGACTCTCACACACACATCGACGTGCACAGCAATCCCCGATGATGGCACAGCTATCAGCATCGCAGTACTACGTATCAGTAAATTGCAGGACATGAGCAATCGAAACAATAGAAATGCATAGTAGAAATAATCTGAAATAAGTGTATATTAAATAGCAGCAGTACGCACAGGTACGTTGAGAAGCAGGCTATAGCATAGATTATAGACTGGCAGTACGCCGACTCAATGACATAAGCATTTCTACAGTGGCGATAAAAAGCTGACAATATAGGCAGCAGCTAAAAAAGCAGGATACAGTCGACATGAAAGGCTGGCAGTACACTTAGTGAGGTAAAGAAGCAGGCAACAGATTATAGACTGGCATTCACTCATAATGGGTAAAAGCAAAATTAACAGTGTAGATAATAGTGGCAGTGCACTGATGTTAATGAATCAGCAGTCGACAGCACAAAATGGCAGTACACCGTCGCAGCGTCGTAAAAAGGAACACAAAAAGGGAAATATTTAGCAACCTATGAATGAAAATGTAGTTTTCTGCACACAAACATTATGATTGTAATATTAGGCAACGTATTAGTTAGATTATAGTAAACAATGAAGCAGAGTTGTTCTCTGCATAAACATAATCTTATATATAAAAGTCTCCGTGCGCTCGTGCTTGCGGGGGATTTGGTTCTCGGACGGTGGGGTTTAAGACCGAAATAATTTGCCAGGCGGCACGCTCTAAGCCCCGCGGTGGGAATAGGCTATTCCGTTTTCCCGTCTGTTGACGTTAAAGTAGTTTAATTAACACATTTGTGCCGTTTATATTATTCTTTATTTACTTATTGCACGACATCGACCGTACCAAGTGACGCCAATTGCGTGGGGGGGCGGGACAGACCCTGCCAAGTCATGCGCGTTCGCTCCAGCTCACGGGAGACATTTTATTTTACGCGTTTTACAGCCAACACATACATCACGCTGCGGATATTTATTCACAGTGTCATGTCCTTTTCGCCCCCCCCCTCCCCCCCCACACGATGCATTCAGTTTATACTACAGACTCCGTAGATAATATTTTACTGCTTACATAGCATTATTCTTGCACGGGCGGCGGATTTTGGGGGGGGGAGGGTAGCGGCCCAGCCCCTAGCCTGGCAACGTGCCAACTCCACCGCCTGCCAATATAGGCCAGGACGGGGGCTATGCATCGCACAAGGCCTCAACATGCCTATGGTAAGTACAAATTTCCTTGCTTCTTACGCTAACAACTCAAGTCCATTGTTTATTATTGTTAAACACATTAGTTGACAAACATTACTATAATAATGTTTGTGTGCAGATAAGAACTCACGTTGATTGCTTACTATTATCAAACATACGTTGGGAGAAATTACAATAATGCTTGTGTGCACAAAACTCTTTATTTTTAGGTTGCTAAATATTCCCTTTTAAGCTGCGCTTTTATGACGCTGCGACGGTTTGCCAGTCTGTGATCTAGCCATGTACGTCCATGTGTATGTGTGTGTGAGTCCATATGTGTATGTGTTAGTCCACATGTGTTTGTAAGTCTATACATGTGTGTGTCACTCGATGTGTGTGTAAGTCAATGCGTTTGTTTGAGTCCATATGTGTGTGTTCATCCATGTCTGTGTATCTCAAGTAGATGTCTGTGTGTCACATGTGTATGTGTGTAGGGCTGTGTGTGTGTCAGTCTATGTGTGTCTAAATCCATGTGTGTGTCTTAGTCCATGTGTGTAAGTACATATGTGCGTTTACGTCAATGTGTTTGTGAGTCCACGTATGTCTGTGTGTGAGTCGCTGTATGTGTGTACGTCCAAATGTGTGTGTAACTCCATGTGTGTGTATCTCAAGTGGATGTCTACGTGTGTGTCAGTCCATATGTGTGTGTGTCTAAGTCGATGTGTTTGTGTGTGTGAGTCCATATCTGTGTGTGTGTGTCTGAGTCCATGTGCGTGTGTGTTAGTTGCTGTGTGTGCATGCCTCCATGTTAGTCAGTGTAAGTCAATTTCTTTGCATGTCTGTAGGCCCATGTGTAGGTCTTAGTCCATGTGTGTGATTTATTTACCTGCTCAAGGCCTATGATGCCATCAGTAGGTTTGGCCTCTGGGTTGTTCTTCGTGCTTTCCGAGTTCCTCACCCACTGCTCACCATCCTAAGGACCTTCATGATGGTGAGCAGCCCCGCGTCAAACTACGTGACCGTGAGCCAGAGCCATTCCCTGTACACCTTGGGGTGCAACAGGGATGTCCTCTGGCTCCCACATTATTTTACATATATTTGGACCACGTAGTTCGTGAAGCCTTCAATGGCTGTACCGCTAGAATTTCCATCTGGTACAGATACAATGGGAGGCTGAACGATGCCCGGATGCGGTTAAGGCATGGCTCCCTATTGCTCAACCACGTTATGTATGCCGATGATCTGCTAATTGCTGCTCACTCGGAGGAGGAGTTCGAGTTGCTGCTGCTGAACCTGAAGCTTGCCAACAAGAAGTGAGGCCTTAGGATCAGCCCCACCAAAACTAAGCACCTGCCTGGGTATTTTCTACCATCGGACACTCCACCCCCACAACTCCCAATTGGTGATGGGGCAGTTGTGGAGACAGTGGAGAGTTTCCCATACCTTGCCAGTGTGCTAATGACCAGCTCCGGTTTAAAAGCAGAGGTCTCATTCCAAATCAGTCGAGCCACATTATCTTTTCATTGGTTGCGTAAAACTGTGTGGAAGCTACCTGATCTATCACTCCGTACGAAGCTTCAGGTCTTCTCGGCCACGGTCATTCCCTCCCTTCTCTACGCTTGTGCCCCCCTAATGGAACATCTTTGCCAGTTATAAACATTTAGGATGGCCTGCCTACGATCCATCCTGGATTTAACCAGGCTGCATTGTGTGAGGAGCTCACAAATCCTTGAAAGATGTGGACAAAGTCCCATCGGTGAGCTCCTCCGCCAGGTAAGGCTGTGTTGCCTGAGTCATGTAGCCCACATGGCCAGACACCGCATGCCTAAACATCTTTTGTTCGGCCGGATCTAGAGGGCTAAACGGCCTGGCACGGGCTAGAGAAGACATTAATTGATGTGGTACAGGAAGGCGAGGAGCTGAGTCGACTTGCCGATGACGGCTACCAGCCGTGTCAAGATCGGCCTCTGTGGAGGAGCCTCCTGAAGGACGCTACTGGGCAGTTGGAGGCAGTCGCTCTCCAACAACAATGGAGGGCGGAGGAGTGACGCTCACAACAACGAGCGGAGCGCCGGGTGACTAAAGCACAGCAAGTTGCCACAGTAGGGGGCACAGGTGGTGCATCAGCCAGTCGTCTCAGTCAGTCGACCTGTGCCATCTGGGTCTGCCCCGTGACCTCCTGCCAGCGGGCGTTCGACACTTTACGTGGCCTCAAGGTGGACATAGCCTGGCACAAGCGTTGTGGTGACGTCACCGTCACTTACTGGCGAATGGCGGTTGTTGTTGTTCAGTCTATGTATGTATGTGTGATTCGATATGTGTGTGTAACCCTTTGTGTGTGTGTCACTCGATTTGTGTGCATAACTACATGTGTGTGTCTGCCTTTTTCGCCCGGGCAACGCTGGGTTCTCACTGCTTGTGTTAGTAATATTTGTAAACTTATTTGTTTAATAATAGTAAGCAATAAACCTGAGTTATTAGCGAAAGATTAAATAAAATTGTACTTTATATTGGCGTGGTGACGCCTCGTCCCGTGCAGAGCCCGCGGCCTCGCCTAGATTGGCAAGCCGCAGGTGAGACATTGCCAGAACTTTATAGCAGTAACTGCACGCATCGTGTTGGGGGGGGGGGTGAAGAGGACATGAGACTGTGAAGAAAAATCCGCAGGGTGATATGTATATTTATTTCATGTTAAACGCGTAAATAAAATGTCTCCCGTGAGCTCGACCGAACGCGCATCACTTGGCAGGGTCCGCCCCCCCCCAGGCAATTGTCGTGAGTTGGTATGGTCGATGTTGCACAATAAGTAAATAATTAAAATAAGAATGCCACAAAATCGTTAATTAAACGACTTTAAAGTTTACGGACGTGAAAACGGAATAGCCTATTCCCACCGCGGGGCTTAGGGCGTTCCGGCTGGCAAATTTTTTTGTATTTAAAACCCACCGTCTGAGAGCCAAATCCCCCGCAAGCCCGCGTGCGCGGAGACTTTTAAATGTGGACATGTAGCCAGATGTCAGGATGAGTTAGTTGGTGCCAAAACATGTAATTTTGAAGCGTGAGTTATATCTTCTACTAGCGGTAAGTACCCGGTGTTGCTCGGGGAAAAAGGCAGACACACACATGGACTTACACACAGACATTGACCCACACACATAGAAACACATCGACTTAGACGCACACACACATGGTTAAACCCAGGATGGATCGTTAGCAGGCCAGCCTAAATGTTTCTAACCGGCGAAGATGTTCCATTAGGGGGATGCACGTTTCGCAAGCGTATAGAAGGGAGGAAACTACCATGACCGAGAAGAGCTGAAGCTTCGTGCGGAGCGAAAAACCAGGTAGCTTCCACACAGCATAACGTAGCCGATGAAAAGATAATGGCGCTCGACTGATTTGAAGTGAGACTTCTGCTGTTAAACCCGGAGCTGGTCATGAGCACACTGGGCAGGTATGGGAATCTCGGCAATCTCTCCACAACTGGTGCATCACGAATTGTGAGCTGTGGGGGTGAATTGTTCGATGGTACAAAATACCCAGGCAGGTGGTTAGTTTTGGTGGGGCTGATGGTAAGGCCCCACCTCTTAGTGGCAAGCTCCAGGTTCAGCAGCAGTGAGCAGCAATCACCAGAGCATCGGTATACATAACATGGTTGAGCAATAGGGAGGCATCCGTTGACCGCACCCGGGCATCGATCAGCCCCCATTGTATCTGCACCATATGGTAATTGATCGGGTACAGCCATTGAAGGCTTCACGAACTACGTGGTCAAAAGATATGTTAAATAATGTGGAGCCAGAGGACATCCCTGTCACACCCCAAGGTGTAGAGGGAATGGCTCTGACTGACGGCCACGTAGTTTGACGCGGGGCCGCTCACCATCATGAAGGTCCTCAAGGATCGTGAGCAAAGTTTGAGGGACTCCGAAAGCATGAAAAACAACCCAGAGGTCAGGCCTACTGATGGTATCATAGGCCTTGAGCAGGTCAATAAAGCACATACATTCACTCACACACACACGGACCTACAGACATGCAAAGAAATGGACTTACACTGACTGACATGGAACCATGCACACAAAGCGACCAACACAGACGCCCATGGACTGACACACACAGACATAGACTGACATACATACAACGACTCACACAAACACATCGACTCACACACAGACATACGTGGACTCACACACACATTGAAGTAAACACACATGTACTTACACAGACACATATCGACTAAGACACACACACATGGACTTACACACACATACATAGACTGACACACACATTGCCCTACACACACATAGACATATGTACTGTGACACACAGACATCTACTTTAGATACACACATGTAGATTAACACACACACATCGACTGACACACATAGACACACAAACGCTCATTGACTTACACACTCATATGGAGCCATAAACACATATCGACTCACACACACACGCATTCACTTAGACACACACACATCGAGTGAAACACACACGTATGGACTTACACACACATGTGGACTAACACACACACAGCGACTGATATGCACACAAATGGACTGACACACACACACAAACACTTGTACATACACACACACACATGGAGCGTTGTCCGGTTGAAAAAGACAGACACACACATGGACTCACACGCAGACATGGAGCCACACACATTGAAACCCATCGACTTACACGCACACAAATACATATGGACTCACACGCACAGACATCGACTTTAGGGACACACATGTAGTTTCTGCACACAAACATTATCATTGTAATATTTGTAAAGTTATTTGTTTAATAATAGTAAACAATAAACCTCAGTTCTTAGCGAAAGATGCAAGAAAATTGTACTTTACATTGGCGTGGTGACGCGTCGTCCCGTGCAGAGCCTGCGGCCTCGCCTAGATTGGCAAGCCGGAGGAGGTGAGACGTTGCCAGGCTGTGCGCTGGGCCGCTACCCCCCCCCCACCATCCCCCCGCCTGAGGCAGAATAATACGATGTAAGCGTTGTCATAATATTAAATGAATATGTGAGGGCTTTATAGCAGTAACTGCACATATTGTGGTGGGGGGGAAGACATCACACTGTGAAGAGAAATCGGCAGCGTGATGTGTATATTTATTCCTTGTTAAACGCGTAAAATAAAATGTCTCCCGTGAGCTGGAGTGAACGCGCATGACTTGGCAGGGTCCGCCCCCCCCACGCAATTGTCGTGAGTTGGTACGGTCGATGTCTCGCAATAAGTAAATAATGAATAATAGAAATGGCACAAATGCGTTAATTAAACTACTTTAAAGTTTACGGATGGGAAAACGGAATCGCCTATTCCCACCGCGGGGCTTAGGGTGTGCTGCCTGTCAAAAAATGTTCTACCTAAAGCCCACCGTCCGAGAGCCAAATCCCCGCAAGCGCGAGCGCGCGGAGACTTTTATATATAAAAAGAAAGAAGAAAGAAAGAAAGAAGAAGAAGAAAGATACCAACATCAACAGAGATCCTACCAACCGTCTGGTTATGAAAACCAACAATATCATCACAGATTCAACATCTTTAATGGAACCAACCAAGCGGTCTTCCTTAAAACCCTCTGCTGCTATACCACCCAGATTATATATAGCTTACCAAAAATCCATAAAGAAGGCACACCACTTTGTCCTATCGTCTCCACCATTGACTCACCCACCTACAAACTGGCCCAATTTGTGTAAGACCTTACAACTATTCACTGGTAAGACCACCTCAGATGTATTCAACTCAGCTCACTTGGTATCGTTAATTAAGGACATCACACTATCTCCAGGTAATTTGCTCATTAGTTTTTACGTACTATCTTTGTTAAACAAAG